AGTCAGACGCTTAACCGACTGAGCCACCCAGGCGCCCCAATGTTCTGTTTTTAAGAGCCTCTTATGCTTTGGCTCTCTTCCACTCTAACCTCTTTTTTTTTTTTTCCTTCCCCTTCCCCATGGGTTTCTGTTACATCTTTTTTTAAATTTTTTAACCTTTATTCACTTTTGAGAGACAGAGAGAGACAAAGCATGAGCAAGGTAGGGACAGAGAGGGGGACACAGAACCGAAAACAGCCTCCAGGCTCTAAGCTGTCAGCACAGAGCCCGACGCAAGGTTTGAACCCACAAACCATGAGAGCATGACCTGAGCCGAAGTCAGACGCTCAACCGACTGAGCCACCCAGGTACCCCAGGGATACATCCTTAATAGAAGTGTAAACCAGAAAAAAAATATCCATAGGAGGAGGGGCAAACATGGCAGAGAAGTAGGGGAATCTGAGGTTCCCTGATCTCTCAAACAAAGAGGTGTTGAAGCCAAAGGACTTTGAACCCTAAGAGTCCAGGAGGAACACAGACAGAGTCGCTTCCAGGGAACCACCAGGACAACCTGATGGGCCATAGATGTGTGATTGCAAACTGGGAGAGATAAAATGAGTGGAGCAGTGGGATCCCCTTCTGCAGAGGGGAGGGATCCCCTTTTGCAGAGAGACAAAGGGAAGAGAAAGAGAGGCTGGGGAAGCATAAGACTGTATCTGGACAAGAGAAAAAACCATGGACTGGGACAAAGAAAGATCCAATCTCTAACTGAGGGGCTTTCTCAAGACTGGAGCTGGCTGCCGATTAGTGCACCTGGGGAGGAGAGGAGCTAGTCCGGGCTCGATGGCTAGGTCAAGGGCACAGTCTGTAGTAGGAGAAAGTGATCCCCTCCCTGGAGTGCTGTGGGACAGGACAAAGCCTGCCTGCATTTACCAGCCAGAGACCACATATCGGGTGGTGCAGAGTGGCATTTCCCCAGTACTGGGGTGTGCAGAGTGAAAGTTTGAATCCCAGTCAAGTGCCAGGACATGGGAATAAGCAGAGCAAGACAAACCACTTCGTTTGTGCCCACAGCAGTGATGACGGCTTGAACAGAGTGGTTTGGGATTCCAGGTCAATGGAGGAGGGACTGGAGTGTTGCCATTTTTCTCCCCACCACCACCAAAGTGGGGTCTCAGGGATAGGATTGGACAGTGTGGCCCACAGTGGAAGCGGGACCCGCCTACAACCAAACCACTCCTGCGTGTGGCAACTGCATATCTACTGGAGCAGGATTGATGCTGATGAACCAGACGAATCCTCCTCCAGACCAGTGCTGTTGGATTGCCTGATTTAATTCTTGGACAATTCTTATTATATAGATATATTCTCCCTTCCTTTTCTCCTTCTTATCTCTTCCCCCCTCTAGTCTGGTTACTCTGGTTGTTGGTTTGGTTAAGCAGACATATTTAGTCCATTCTCTTGATACATGTTCTATAGCTCCTTCTTTATTTTCTTTTCTCTCTCTCTGGAGTAATTAAGCCTTATAGTTTCTCTGTCTGGACAACATTATCTTCTTTTCTTTTTCCCGGCTTCTTCTTTTTTTCCTTTCTCTCTCTCTGTATTAAGCTGTATAGTTTCTCTGCCTGATCAATGTTTATTTTTTTTCCCTGCCCCTGTCATTTCTCTCTTCATATGGCATGAGGTCTCCTCCATCATCACTGCTTCCACCCTGTGGTTTGCTTGTAGCTGGTGCTTCTGGGTTTTTTTGTTTTTGTTTGTTTGTGTTTGTGTGTTTTTGTTTTCTGTTTGTTTTTTGTTTGTTTTCTTTCCCAGGGCTACTTCAATGAACAAATCAAAGCACACTTGGTGGAGGGTCCGAAACGTCACTATAAGTAGGGAGATAAAATAACCAAAGTCACAATAGCAGAGAGCAAGTAACACTCTCCAAAAAACACCTCCTGAAGGGCCAGGCCCTGGACAATGTACGAGATCTCTTTAATATAGTAGTGCTCACAGATGCAGGACACATAATAAGCTTTTAAAACACATAGGGACAGGAAACTAGCCAAGATGATGAAACAGAAGAATTCTCTTCAATAGAAACTCCAAGAAGAAATGACAACTAAAGAATTGTTCGAAACAGATATAAACAATATAACTGAACAAGAGTTTATAATAATAGTCATAAAATTAATCTCTGGGCTTGAAAAAAGCATACAAGACAGCAGAGAACTTATTGCTGCAGATTTCAAGGAACTAAAAAATGCTAGTGATGAATTAAAAATACTATAAATGAGGTGTAAAATAAAATAGAGGCAGTCACATTGAGGATTGAAAAGGCAAAAGGGAGAATAGGTGAAATAGAAGATAAAATTATGGAAAAAGAAGAAATGGAGAAAAATAGAAATTAAAAAATTCTGGATCACAAGGGGAGAATTAGAGAACTAAGTGATTTATGAAATGGAACAATATTGGGGTGCCTGGGTGGCTCACTCAGTTGAGCGACCGACTTTAGTTCATGTCATGATCTCACGGTTCATGGGTTAGGACCCTGCATTGGGTTCTGTGCTAACAGCTCAGAGCCTGGAGCCTGGTTTGGATTCTGTGTCTCCCTCTCTCTCTGCCCCTAACCCACTCGCATTTTGTCTCTGTCTCTCTCAAAAATAAATAAGCATTAAAAAATTTCAGAAATGGAACAATATCCGTATCATAGGAGTTCCAGAAGAAGAAGAAGAAGAGAGAGAAAGGGGCCGAAGGTGTACTTGAACAAAACATAGCTGAGAACTCCCTAATTTGGGGAAAAAAACAGGCAATGAAATCCAGGAGGCACAGAGACCCCCTTCAGACATAACTTGAATCAATATTCTGCATGACATATCATCATGAAACTGGCAAAATACAAAGATAAAGAGAGAATTCTGAAAGCAGCTACAGATAAATGGGCCTTAACATACAAGGGTAGACACATAAGGGTAGTAGCAGACCTATCTACTGAAACTTGGCAGGCCATAAACGAGTGGCAGGAAATCTTCAATGTGATGAACAGGAAAAATATGCAGCCAAGAATCCTTTATCCAGCAAACCTGTCATTCAGAATAGAAGGAGAGATAAAGGTTTCCCCAAACAAATAAAAACTGAAGGAATTCATCACCATTATACCAGCCTTACAAGAGATCCTAAGGGGGACACTGTGAGTGAAATGTTCCAAGGACCACAAAGGACCAGAGATATCACTACAAGCATGAACCCTACAGATAACACAATAATTCTAAATACATATCTTTCAATAATAACTCTGAATGTAAATGGAATAAATGCTCCAATAAAAAAATAGGGTATAAGAATGAATAAAACAACAAGACTCATCTATTTGCTGTCTATAAGAGACACATTTTAGACATGAGGATATCTTCAGATTGAAAGTGAGGGAATACCATCTGTCAGGCTACTGGGAATCAAAAGAAAGA